AGCTCAAATGTTTACGCGCTACAACGCTCAACAGGAGGAATCTCATACAATATATTGTGGAGGGTTAAAGTGACACTAAACTCAGAAGATAAAAAACTAATGCATTCTAGTGCCTTATTAACAAAAATGTATCTTATTTGTGTATCACTCTGCTGTAGATCCTGAAATCATCTCTGAATTGGTGCTGACACTGTCCATCCTTCTAGAGGGTGGCTACGTTTGTTTTCCATGGTCTTCTGGGGAACCCGTAACTACGACAATCATTTCAGGATGGAGAGCAGGGAGCAGACCGGGGGAACGTCTGTTCTCTGATGTGCTCTCTGTTATCAGTGAGACAGGAACGCTGTACTCACAGCGCCCCTTATCTCAGCTGTCACAGGCTGCACAGAATCGAGCACAATGCAGTTGCTCAATATTCTGTGTTGGGAGGGCAGGATCCATAAAGAGCACTTGTCAAATGCAAACACTATCACATTGGGGTTTGTTAGCCCCTGTGTAGTAGTAGTAATGTTAAGTGAAAAAAAAAAACTGATAAAAAAATAAACATGAAAAATGTATAAAGCAGTAAAAAATAAAATAAAAAGATTAAGTGATAAAGTAAAAAACAATAAAAGAAAAAAAATTAAAACCAACCCTGGCCCCGTCACCATCTGCATGTGAATAAGCAGTGCTCTCTAACATGCACAATGTGCATTAAGTTCACTTTCCCACGTAATTTGGGAAAATGCAATTACCCACTCAAATCTGGCACCCTCTCCCCACAATCCCTCCCCCAGTGCTATACTTACCTTTCGGCGCACGGTCCTTCCCCTCTGCCAGTATGGGTGTACTATCTGTACCCCATACTGCCTTCCAGCACAGCCCTGCCCTATGGATTTTGAATTCGCAAATTGTGAGCACTTGTTTGTCAGCGCAGTCAGGTGACTAGCTAACTAATCAGAAGTGCTGCTTCGCATGGCTAAATAGGATTTTGGATCAAAGTATTTTTCGTATCAGGATGAGTAGATTGTCATGAGGGACAAGTAGATTGGGCCCCAGCTTTAGTCCTTGGACAATAGTTTTTTCTTTAAATTTCCACACCCCTGAAATAAGATACATTTATGTTATAAGTTAAGGTTCTTGAATGCATTTTTAAGCTTTAACTCCTGAGTTTAGTGTCACTTTAAGTATTGTTTAGGCCTAAAATAAAAAAAAACCTCCAATGGTGACATGGTTAATGCAACCAACTAATCGATTAATCAATAATAATCGATTATGAGAATAGTTGTCAACATTATCGATTAGTTGGTTTGATCCCCTAGCTCTCTCCTCCACGCTGGGAGGAGGGCACAGCAATCAGTGGGCGGGTGCAATAGCCAGCCTGTCTGGCTATTGCACCAGCCCACTACCTGCTGTATTTACATTCAACTGCCGTCTGCGGAATCTTGCCACTGACAGCTGTCATTCCCTGGCTGAAGCTATATAAGCTAAGCTATATAAGCGCCATGTGCTTTTTATAAAAGGTGGGGAAAAAAGTAATTTTCAGTTTCGGTCTGACAAATTCTGCTGCGGGAGGTGGGTTGCAGTGCCATATTTAAATGGCACCCCAAATGCACCTCCTACCCACAGTGTGATTGCCCGCACTGGAACGCAAGGTACCGCAATGCTGCGCATTCCAGTGCAGTGCGATTGCAAAAAAAAATGTGCATGCAGTTTTATTCTGCAGTAAACTTTATGTTTGTAACACTGCATATGTGTATTGTATTTTAAATTTTAAAAAATGTTTTATCCGATTAATTGAAAAAAATAATCGTCCAACTAATCAATAATGAAAATAATCATTAGTTGCAGCCCTATAATGCAGCATGCAATCTAAAGTACTTTATATACAGAAATATCTCATAACTACGCAGACTACCAACCAAGGTAAAGGAGGGATGGTTTACTGTTTTCTGAACTAAAAAGAGCAAACTGACACCCCACAATATCCTCTCCACCATCTCCCCATATATTTCTCTAGCTGAATTTAGAAAAAAATTGTCAAAGGTGGCCAGAAGAGGGTGGCAGTTGCATTGGGGGCATTCCCCACCCCCTTGCGCCTCTCTGCAACTGATTGAGTGGGGCTTGGGCGAACGGGGTTTGCACCAAGCCCAGGCTCTTCTCTAATGACCACTGCTTGTAATGCTAGAGATCTATTCCGTAGCACATCTTAGGGCCGTTCACACTAGCTCTTCTGCTAAAGTGCTCCGTTTTAGTTAATAGGATAGTGTATTGTAGCGGCTCCAGCAGTCTGCAATGCATTACACACGGCCAGAGCTGTCCCTGTTTACATATTATTATTTTGCACGTGTGGTGTGAACAGGACAAATAGGAAACATTTGTTTTCTATGTGCCCTAGCAGTGACCTGCATTTTTCAACACTAGTCTGGACGGGACCTTAAAAGAGAAAGTGTAAGTGTTTTTCCCCATAGTTCTCTTAAGGGTCATGGGAGGACATATACTATCGTCCTCCCGTGACCCAAAGCTCAGTATATCGTGAGCTACAGCTTGCGGTATTCTGAGACCGCCACAGCTGGGACGGATCCAGACAATGCTGTCGAGATCGACCCTACTGCGTGAATGACAGCTGGCTCTGCCTATCTAGAGGCAGAGCCAGCTGTACCCACACCCTCCCCGTCCGTTCCTCCAGTCAGCGCTGCAGGATCGGAGCGGGGAATCCCTGCGGGGAGCCGTGACTGACAGTCATTGCTCTCTGCAGGGAGATGATCGAGAAGTGAGCGAGTGACGGTATGCGTTCGCTCACTTCCCCACATATTAAGCCGACTTGTGACAGTTTCATTGTCACACGTCGGATCGAACTATGAGGTTGAGTGATTAACACTCGCCTCGTAGTTCTCCTTTAAAGTACACTTCACCCTCCCTACTACTTTTTCTCCACTCCAACCCCTCTTACTCTCTAACAATCCAATATTTATTATTCCTTTATTTCTTGCATAGACAAGAATGATGTTTGTGCATTACTATATTTCTCCTATAGTTCGAAACTCAGACTTCTTCCTCATCTGCATTAGTTGATGAAGTATAAACTTGCAAGACTGTGAAGTTGAATAGCTGTGCCTGCAATCTTACTGATCTTAGTTAATCTTGTTAAAGAAGAACTTTGGGCAATGTTCCTATCAATCCTTGCAGTGGCGCTACCCCTGCAGTTGCAAGGGCTAACTGCTTGTTTTTGTCTGGGGAGGAAAATAAAAAAGTTATACTCAACCGATCTTCTGAGTCGGCTTGTTCTTATACCGGACCGAGGGTGGTCGTTCCGCCAGTGAGTTTGGTCTTTTGGTGGGTTGAACACAGACATTTTCACTTTGCCCTGAATAGACAATGAGCTGAACGAGTCTCCTAAAATAATAATTGTACTTTCAGAAGGAGGACAGTAATTCTTTCTGCCCCTCCTCTGATCTACAGATTCTACCCACCCCCTCCACAAATGTATACTTACCAAGATTTGGTAACTGCCATATTTGTTAATATCCTGCACTGAAGTCCTCTCTCTGCTGGCCATGCCTAAGCAGTGCAGGCCCATAGACTTCTATGGGGTGCGTCTCCATCTCCCAGCCCCAGTGTATGGTGCAGCCAGCAGAGAGAGGACTTCAGTGCACGATGTAAACACACACAAAAGAAGCCAGAAGAATAATCACAATAATCCTTTAAGGGTCCATTCACACTAAAGCGTTGCACTAAACACAATGAGGGGAATTTGTCAAAACTGGAGCAGACAAAACCTGGAGCAGCTGTGCCCAGCAACCAATCAGCTTCTCTCTTTCATTGTCAAATCTTAACTCAACAAACTGAAAAGAGATGCTGATTGGTTGCCCTGGGCAACTGCTCAAGATTTTGATAAATTCTCCTCATAGTATCCATGCGTTTAGCACACGCTATCGCACAGCACACCTATCGTGTGGTACCTTGCACTGGGTGCATTGCATTGCCATTCATCTGAATGACACTCCAACACATCTCCCAGTGGCTGTGTGTTGCAGCGTAACGTGTGGTGCTGCAATACTGTGTGCAGCAGTACAAAAAGTAGTGCATGCAAAAATATTTTTCATCGCAATGCACAATATTGAAGTTCCACATGTTCAGCTGCAACACACAGCTGCCGTGAGGTTGGGGTGCCATTTAGGTTGCAACGAAATGAACCTAATGCATGGTATCACATGCTAGGTGTGCCGAGCGATAACATGTGCACTTTGCGTTTGCAGTAACGTTATGGTGTGAATGGGCCCTAAGTAACGGCTCTGTTCTTTGTCTTGGAAAAGAGGTTCTTCACTGAGGGCCCATTCACATCACTCTGGTAATGCAAGCTACATGTATTGGTGCGCTGCAGTACCATTCATTGTGAATAGCCCCCCAATGCACCATTCCAATGCAGTAACAGTACTACCTTGTGTTGCATTAGCAAATATGCAGCAGGCTGGATTATTGGTCTGTCGTGGTGCGTTAGGCAGTCGATTTAAATAAATGGGCTGCCTAAACCCAACGTGCATTAAACACACCACCCTCCGTGATCTTTTACAATGGAGCAAAAGAACATCGGCAGATGTACGATGGTGTTTACCTCGAGTGATCCTTCACATCAACTAAATGACAAGTGACACGTTATCAACAACTATGTAATAGAACACGGTGCACCCTACACCGACTGAACTCAGCCAGTCACCTAGCCTCTCCTTCTGCGGTTGGCAAGTAAAAACCCTCCGAAATGACGTCACTCCCACAGTAACAGCGCAAAACGAGGCTAGGAACGCATAGCCTCTTACGTGCTGACGTCACTCCAACATCGTAGTGGTCAGCATTACGCTCGGAGAGGGCGTGAGCTCCGTGTACCCAATGGTAAGCCAGAGCGAATGGACTGTTTGCTTTTGAAGAGTGGCGTTTACATGAGCCAATCTACGGCAGAAAAATCAAAGTTCTGGGCCAATGGTAACAGCAAGTGGGCGTGTTCCCAGCGAGTCATGTTGTGGTGTTGCTGCCAGAAGGCGGAGCGGGTTGTGGTGCAGTCAGGCAGGGGAGCGCGGAGTTGGTGGAGGTGGGAGTTACCGGGAGACCGGTGAGGGAGGGTGACAAGGTGTCCGGGGTGTCTGAATGATGAGGCTGGTAGACGTGTGACATCGTTTACGCATGCAGCTTGCTTGTGAGAAGCTGGTATGTGCAGGCCGTGTATGCAGAGGGCCTAGTGTATGTGAGACTGAAAGCAGTGTGACTCATTGGGAGCCGAAGACTACTGGAGATGCAGGGGCACCTTCTGGGGGTAAAGCGGTCCTGCTTGCATGTGGCGCAGCTCAATGCTGTGGTTATGAATGTTATTACATTGTGTTCACGTCTTCTTTCCTGACAAATGATTGCTTTACGGGCATGTTCAAAATGCTGGAATGCTTTCCTTGTCTTTATTTCTTTACAGTAACGTTTTATATGTTATCCTAATTGTGGTCCAAAGCTGAACCTTGGGAAAAGGAGAAAACTCCCCTTTCAGGGGTCTGCCCCTGCATGGCAAGGGTTAAATGCTCCTTTAGCTGTAGGGTAGCTGGGTAAAGATCTATGACTTACCTGATTCCCCTCCAGGTTATAAGACCAGACGTTGTGGCCCCCTCCCATTTCTGCACTGTGGTGGTCGGAGGCCTGCTGATGTCATCACATACAGCCCTATATCATATGTGAGGACGCCGAGGGACAGTCCACAGCATGGAGTAGAGAGGTGAGCGCTGACTGCCGGGGGAGCGGGGATCAGGTAAGTAAAAGGTATTTACACCTAAAGGAGCATTTAACCCTTGCAGTGTGGAGGCAGCCCCACTACGAGGGGGGTTTTGTGTGTTCCACAGGCATAGGTTTTAAAGTGTCTGGACAAAATGTTTTTTGCTTAGTTTTGGATGGAGTAGGAAGAGATAGAACCCTGTCGGGTTATTACTGCTATCCAGCCTTTGTTGGATCAGTTTCTTCTCACTAACAACAATTTCTTCCATCAGACAGGACGTGAGCCTCCAAGAGCATAACAGACAGAAATAAGAAAACCTTTTTTTTTTTTTTTTTTGAAAAAAGGGGAGATGAGACCATGCTGGAATGCTTTCCTTGTCTTTATTTCTTTACAGTAACGTTTTATATGTTATCCTAATTGTGGTCCAAAGCTGAACCTTGGGAAAAGGAGAAAACTCCCCTTTCAGGGGTCTGCCCCTGCATGGCAAGGGTTAAATGCTCCTTTAGCTGTAGGGTAGCTGGGTAAAGATCTATGACTTACCTGATTCCCCTCCAGGTTATAAGACCAGACGTTGTGGCCCCCTCCCATTTCTGCACTGTGGTGGTCGGAGGCCTGCTGATGTCATCACATACAGCCCTATATCATATGTGAGGACGCCGAGGGACAGTCCACAGCATGGAGTAGAGAGGTGAGCGCTGACTGCCGGGGGAGCGGGGATCAGGTAAGTAAAAGGTATTTACACCTAAAGGAGCATTTAACCCTTGCAGTGTGGAGGCAGCCCCACTACGAGGGGGGTTTTGTGTGTTCCACAGGCATAGGTTTTAAAGTGTCTGGACAAAATGTTTTTTGCTTAGTTTTGGATGGAGTAGGAAGAGATAGAACCCTGTCGGGTTATTACTGCTATCCAGCCTTTGTTGGATCAGTTTCTTCTCACTAACAACAATTTCTTCCATCAGACAGGACGTGAGCCTCCAAGAGCATAACAGACAGAAATAAGAAAACCTTTTTTTTTTTTTTTGTAGAACAGAGGAATGCTAGAATCGCAGCCATTTTTATTGCTGTTGGAAGCTTTCCCTGACTTCCTGTCTGGTTAAACTGTTGTCACCATGATGGTAAATCAGTGTTTTGGCCGGGCACACAGATCTGCTTCTCCACAGATCCTGCAAGACTAGAATTCAATGCATGCTCTGGTTGGGTGATGTGCTGAAACCTGCAGTTCTATGGCAGGTGTAGGTGTCAGGTTATCTACAGAGATGGTCACACACAGGTAGATTGTTAATCTTAAGGTGGCCAGCCGTCTTACAGTCTGATCTTTGTGATCTCGCGTAAGGTGCCCGTACACTACGAGAATCGTGGGAAATCCCGCGATCGTACGATCGCAAAGTGTATGGAAGGCGTGTGCGACCGTTTCTACTGTACGGTCGCACGTCTTTACGTCGATCAAGCAGGCTTTAAAACCCCCCCAGAAACCGCCGAATCCT